CCTGTAAAACATTTTCTTTTCACCCTTACAATCAAACGCACCCTTAGAGAAGCTAAAATATCTTCAGATGAAATACCCGATGATCAAGTAGAATTTAATTCTCTACACGATCATTTTTTATAAATGATAGGTGGTCCATTCAATATACTCCAAGTGTACTAAATTCAATAACTATTTTTGTGATAAGGACATTGTTAAAATTTGGGTGTGAACTGAATTCTTTGTTGAAAAAAAAATTGAAAATTTTAATTAAAGTACACGTTAAGAGGAATTCTATTTGGAATGCTATTGTGGAATCCTATTCAAATTTATTTAGCAATTTCTAGTTGAAGTATATTTGGAAGCTCTATTGGAAGTTGAAATTTGTATTAGATTTGAAGATGTTGAAATTATGGAACGAAAGCTTTTCTCACCACATTTTCGCTAGCCTAGGGCAAGATGGGCGCTTGAACGTCAAAAGCAGAGAAGTTGGCACCCACCGACGCTAGGCGCCTACTTGAACGGTGGTGTGAAACACCCAGGCCCCCTTTTTGCATTTTGACAAGTTTTCTTACATTCTATTTCAACTACAACTCTACCATAAGGGTTTGGACGATCCCTATTTGTTCCCTATATATAGTTGGCTTTTCATTGTGATTTAGATGAAATTAGACAAACATTGTAAACACAAATATCTGTATTATTTCTCCATATTATAATAAAATCTCATTTACTCTACAAATTACATTATTCATGTGTCTTTGAGATCTAAACTTCATATTGTGGCTATAATCTCTTATTTTCTCCAACAAATTGATATTAGATTAATTTGGTATCAGCTTCGTTTCACAATAGACATAGCAAAATCAAATAATGAAATAGTAAACTTCACAACCTTTCGGTTCCTTGTACAAATGGTTTGAACAATTTTATTTATGATCAAATATAATTTCTATCAGTGGTGTTTCTCAAAGAAAGCACCCAACTTATATTATCAGGATTGATCATTGATACTTATATTCGCATGATCGATTATATGTTATAAATTTATCATTTCACGACATAAAAATTATATAATATGGGCACAACCAATAACCAAAAGTACTCTAATATCAGTTTTACGTAGACTTTCTAGTCGGTATTGAAATCAGATTTGTGCTATGCTCTTTGTTACGAATGCTG